CATGTTCCTGTTGTTAGTTTTCTACATTTGTCTTGGAATCTAGCTGTTTTTTGTTTTGTTACCTTTTTCTTTTAGCCATCCTATTTGTTAAAAAAAACAAAAAAAAACTGTAGTATGAGTTTTTATAACTGTTTATTGTTGTTGTTGTCCTCTTTCTTTGTTGAAATCAGGTCTCTCTTGTAAATGAGTCCTCGAGGCTCAATGGGATTTACCTGTAGAAATAAATGTTGATTGATTACGATAAGGGTGGCCTCAACTTTTTGGACTTTTACACCTCAAATAACACATTTAAAATAAATTGGCTAAAACAATTGATCAAGAACCCATCTTCAATTAGGAACTTCATACCAAGCTTTATTTTTTTCTGAATTAGGAGGCCTAAATGTCTTTATTTAGCAATTATAATGTTGAAAAAGTCCCCTCAAAACTATTCAGTTTTCATAAACAGATGCTTCTCTCTTGGTCATTGATTTACAAACATAATTTCTCCCTACATTTAAATATTATATTTTGAATGATAAAAACATCTTTCATAAAAACAAATCTTTATTTTATCCTAACTGGTTTTCTCACAATATAGTTTTAGTTTGTCAGTTGCTCAACCTTGATGGATCATTAATGTCATATCAAGAATTTGTCATAAAATATAACAATATGATCCCTATGAACCAATTTAATATTGTAATAAATGCAATCCCTGCTGGAGCATTTTACTTAGACGTGCAGGAGGACAGAATCCAAACTTGAAATTGGTCAAATCTGCTTCTCTTCAACTCGTAACAGCAACCGTCGTGCACGCGCACTGTTTCAGAAAGATGTTGTGTCATATGTGGTATTTTATTGGAGCACCTTCATTAATGACCTTGACTGGAAAAGGATTTGGACTTTACCAACCAGATACATGATAAATAATAAAGTAAGAGAAGTATCATTTAAAATTATTCACTGATTTTACCCATCCAAAGTCTATTTACAACAGTTTAACAAGGATGTAAATATAATTTACTCTTTTTTTATGATGTTTTGAGTTTATTTTGGTCTTGCCCCTTCTCGTCTCAATTTTGGAAAAGTTTTTGTATTTTGATTTTTACTTCTATTGAACCAGATCTCTCCCTTTGCTTTGAACATATATAGTTTAACTTCATTGATTACCCAATAGCTAAAAAAACAAACAAAACTCTATTATTAATCTTACTATATAACCAATGGCATATTCACAAATGCCTTTATACTAATCAAAAACTGCTTATCTCCATTTTTGAAAATGAAGTCAAACAATAAAACTATTAAATATTCCACCAATATGAAGGCCATTAAAACGTGCACCATATGTGCACTCTTTAATGTATTTATGTGATATGTTATTGTAAAGTATTGTCTCAATGTTTAGGTTTTGGTGTTCCTTAGTTATTGCATTACTGCATTTTATTGTACTGTTCTGTATTGTTTCAATAAAGATAAAAAATTTAATTAAATTATATAAAAAAAATAGAATGCGGAGTGCTTTTACTAAAACCTGTTGATAACAGAGTTGGAATTTTATTCTTCATTCAACCTTTATTTATACACGCATCTCTCGAGTTGAGCCTTTTTAAATACTTGAATTAAAAAAATTGCTAAATTAAAATTCAGTTCAGTTCGTTTAAAAAGCTCCAATTGGCACAGCAGAAGTTGTCACTGAACAGAAACATTATATAAAAATATTAATTGAACATTATTTATCTGAGGAGCAGACTGCTTTGAGTTTAACTCCATCACAGAACTCTCATAAAAAAAACAAAATCATAAAAATAAAAATCATTAGGCTGTCACTTAACAACAGACACTTTTTCCAGAGACAAATGATTTTTCCCCAATAGATCTTTTCACTTATTTTGTGAGCGAAACTAAAAGTAATCAGTATTAAATATTTTGGTGGTGACAGCTGCAGATGATGTCTGACCACTGAGGGGCAGTGTAGACCTAACAACCCCAACAACCAGATTCAAAAAACTTTTTTTGTCCTGGATGAGACGTCAGAATTTTTTTTAATAATTGTTTTAAACTTTATTTAAAGAAGCTTTTGAGGAAACAATTCACCTTTTTATAAACTCATGTTTTTACTTAGTAAACATTAAAACAAACTAAACCTTAAAGAGATGATAAAACAAACCATTTTAGTTTCATTCAATCAACCTTTATTTCTACAGGTAGATCCC